TCCAGTCATCTCTGCCATCATAGCTTGTCCGGGATCTGCCCACTTCTCCCCTCCTCTGCATCAACCCCATCCTGGTCCAGCCTCTTTGGCCTGGACCAGTGCAGTCGCTGGGTCCTGGTCCCCCCGCTCCACACTCAACCCCAAGGTCTGTTCTCCCCGCGGCAGCTAGAGGGCGCCAGTGAGCACCTTAGTCAGCCATCCCTCTGCTCGCAGCCCTCCAGGGCTCCCGCCTTCCCTGAGATAAAATCCTAAGTCCTCCCCTGGCCCATAATGCCCTGCACGACCTGCCCACCCCCTCCCTGCTCTACCTCCTCCTCTCTCCCCTTCCTTCCTCTCCTCCATCCACATGGCCTCCTTCTGTTCCTCAAAACCTGAAAACTTGTTCTCACCTCCTTCCGCTCACAGGGGGCCAGGGGGTGGCTGGAGGTGGGAGAAGTTAGCACAGAGGTCCCAGGCCCTGGATACCCAGAGAGGACATTGGTCTTTGTCCTGAAGACAGTAGGAAGCAATAGGGGTGTCTTCAGTCAATGGAGGTGTGACATAATCCCATCTGCATTTTTAAAGGGTCCCCATGGCTGCTAAGTGGAGCACATTCCCCAGGGGAAACCAAGTCCAAGCAGGGGGACTCTTCAGGAGGCGGGCCTGGGCTTCCAGGCAGTGCTGGTGTGGCGTGGGGGAGGCCAGGACCCCCCAGAATTCTCCCCAGTAGAACAGGGCTCCTTCCTTTCCATAGGGTTGGATGAGATCCTCTAAAGTGAGCTTCCCACGGGTAGGGGTGGGTTGGCTGGAGTCTTGCTACATCCCCAGAGCTCAGTGCAGGGCCTGGCACACAGCAGGAACTCAGCAACAGTCAGGTGCCTGTCGGACTCTCTCTCATTCTCCCTAACTCTGTCTCTGTTTCTGCTTTCATTTCTGTCTCTCTCTGTGCCTGTCTCTCTCTGCCTGTGGCTCTCTGTCCCTCTCTGTGTCTCTGTCTCTGCATTGTTATCTGTTCCTCTCTGCCTCTCTCTTCCCCTCCCTTTCCTCTGTCTCTCCCTCTCTCTCTTTTTCTTCCCTTTCTCTGTCTGTCCCCCCATTGCTGTGTATTCCTCTCTTTCCCTCTGTCCCTCTCTGTTCCTTTTTGTCTCCCTCTGTTCCTCTCTGTCTCTCCCCTTCCCTCCCTCTCTCTCTCAGCCTTCCCATTTGAAGGCTGCCTCCCACATCTGCCTTCCGCCCAGGCCCAGGCCCTGACCCGTCTGAATGCCTTGCTCCAACCACACATCTGTGGGGTAATTGTCCTCCAACCACAAGGTACTGAGGCAAATTATAGTTACGGGGCGGGGGCCTCCATGTGGGCGAACCGCGTCCGCTGGGCTGGCCCCTGCCGGCCTCAGCTGGGTGAGATGGCCGAGGGGGGCCCTGCTCAAGCCACGTGAGCCCAGGCCCTGCCCCAGCCCCCCTTTCCCAGACCTGCATCTTTTGTGTCGAGATGGAAATGCCTTTTGTAAAAGTCAGCGGGGAACTCCAGTGTTTGCAAAATGCTGAGCTGGTATGAATTCCTTTCTTCATTCAACAAGTATGTCACTGAGCACCTACTCTGTGCCAGACACTGTTCCGGGCACTTAGCCAAAGCAGAATGAACATGGCTCACAAAGACCCCTGCCCTGTGGAGCCAACATTGCGGGGGGCAAGAAATAAATAATGGTGACAAGTGGACGTGAATGGTGGACGGGCATCAGTCTTTCTCGCTCACTCTCTCTTATCTCCCTCCCTGTCTCTGTCTCTCCATTTATCTCTGGATCTCCGTGTAATTCTCTCACCCTCCAAACCATGTGCCAGCGAGTTAGCTCAGACTCCCAGTGACCCACTGTGTGGGCCAGTAAGACTGTGCTCTGTGATGTTGGCAATGGCTGCTTTCTCAGAAGATCACCAGGTCTTTCTCCTGAGGCATCTCTGGGCAGACTCGAACTTCCGTCCTTTGGGTTAGCAGCTAAGCATGTCCACAGTTTGCACCATCTGCGGACTCATCTCACCCTCCAAGGGTGGGGATTTCTGGGCTGGGTTTTGAAGGATGAATAGGAGTCCCCAGCTGATGAAAGGAGGAAGGGTGTACCAGGCAGAGGGAACGGCTCAAGCAAAAGCCTAGAGTTCTGGAAGAATGTGGAGCCTCCCGGAAGGAGAAAGCCAGGTTAGGAGGGAGTTGGGACTTTATCCTGGGGGCTCAGTGAGAGGAAGGGTGGAATGGGAGGGTGAGGGTACCCACATCCCCAGAATACCATGTCCTTCCCACCTCCCACTCCACAGGGATCTGTTCAGCTGTGTCTAGCCACCTGCAGCTCGCCATCCCCAGCTCCCTCTGTCCACTTCCAAACCACTGGCTCCAAAGCCACGGAAAAGCAGAAGCCAAAGCCAGTCACTGCTGCTTCAGAGCTAGGGGGCAAACTCTGTCCTGAAAGTTCTTCCTGCTGTCTAACTTCAGTCCTGCCCACGGCTGATGTAAGCCCAGGACAGCCAGCCCCCACAGATCAGTGGCCAGCCCCTTCTCCTCTGGCTTGGGTACCCACTCGGTGCTCCATCCTTGCACAGTGGTGACTGGATGATGCAGTGAAAGGAATCCCTGCCTTGTCCCTGGTCAAGGGTGGGAAAAGGACAGCAAGGAATAATGAAAATAGTATGCATCTCTTCAGCAGAGCGCTGGTGGTGTAGTACCTAAGACATTTGGCTGCTAACCAGAAAGTCAGTGGTTCAAACCCACCAGCTACTCTGCAGAAAGAAGACAGGGCGATCGACTTCCGTAAAGATTTATGGCCTTGGAAACCCAGTGGGGGTGGCTATGGGATTGGACTCCATGGCAGCAAGTTTGGTTTTTTGGTTTTTCGTCAGCAGAGGCCCTGGGTGGTGCAGACACTCAACTACAGCCAAAAGGTTGACAGTTTGAACCCACGCAGGGCTGCTTTGGAGGGGAGGCCTGGCGATCTGACTCCAGAAGGCCCCAGCCTTGAGAACCCTACAGGGCAGTTCTACTCTGCACACAGGGGTCTCCGGAAGTGGGAGCTGACTCCGCGGCAACTGTCAGCAGCAACAACCCCGTCAGGGGGCCTCTGCCTCATGCCCCACCCCCTCAGTGCCTTACAGAAAGTTTGCCACTTAGCCCATTTTGAAGTGTCCAGTTCAGCGACCTTAATTACACCACCACGTTGTGCTGCCATCACCACTGTCTGTTCCCCAGTGTTCGTGCCCCCAAACAGAAACCCCACACCCCTGCAGCAAGAGCCCCTATGCCCCACTCAGCCCCTGGGAGCTGCTAATCTACTTTCCATCTCTATGGATTTGTCTATTCTAGATATTTTATGTAAGTGGGATCATGGCAGCACAGTGGTTAAAGCACTCCACTGCTAACTGGAAGGTTAGTGGTTCTAACCCACCACCTGCTCTTTAGGAGAAAGATGAGACATCCATACAGATTGACAGCCTAGGAAACCCTGTGGGGCAGTTCCACTCTGTCCTTTAGGGGCGCTGTGAGTCAGAATCGACTCTACAGCATGCATTAGTGGGTGAGACCACACACTTTTTGTGTCTGATTTATTTCACAGAATAATGTTTTCAAGGTTCAGCCACAGCATACCATGTATTTCTTTTTTATGGCTGCATAATATTCCTTTTTTTTTTAAAAAAAAATAAATGTTCCACTGTGTAGATGAACCACATAGTTTCTCCATCATCTGTTGATGGACACTGGGTTCGCTCCACCTTTTGGCAATCATGAGCAGCACTGCAGGGAACACAGGTGTTCACATGTCAGTGTGAGACACTGCTTTCAAGTCTCATGGGCAGATACCTGGGAGTGGAAGTGCTGTCTCATAAGGTGGTTCTGTTTAATTTTTTGAGGGACCACCACAGTGGAGCCACAGTTATATATTTCCACCAGCAATGAACAAGGGGGCCAATTTCTCCACATCTTGGCCAACACTTGTTAAGCCCACTGCCGTGGAGTCGATTCTGACTCACAGCGCCCCTAGAGGACAGAGTGGAGCTGCCCCACAGGGTTTCCTAGGCTGTCAGTCTTTGCAGGAGCAGATTGCCAGGTCTTTTGTCCTGTGGAGCAACTGATGAGCTCGAACTGCCAGCCTTCTGGTTACCAGTTGGGCACTTAACCACTGCTCCACCAGGGCTCCTTTCCAACGCTTGTTAGTTTCCACTTCTCTGATAATAGCCATCCTAGTGGTATGTCATCGCCATTTTTAGGAGAGGGAGATGGACGCCCAGGCAAGAACAGTGGTGTGTTCAAGGTCACGTTCACCCTCAGTCTCCTCTTCCCCGACCCAGAGCCCCCCACTCTCCCGTCTGCCCCCTGATAGCCCCTGGCTAATTTCACCTTTCCAGACTTACCTATCTTTCCTTCCAGAATCCAGACACCCCCTGGACACAGCAGTGGCTCTGCCACATGTCCCCAGGCGTCTTCTGGAGCAAGTGTCTTGGAAGGGACGGACAGATGGGCGGGTGGGAGAGGTTTAGGAAGCCTCCAGCTCCCCCCACCCGCAGCCCCAGGCTGCCCTGCCTGGCACTTTCTGCCTGAACGGGAGTCAGTAGAGAGCCGAGTGCAAGGGGGTGAGACCGGAGGAGCCACACTCCTTCCGGGCGTGGGGGGGGGCGGAGGTGGGGCCACCTTCCCAATCAGTCTGTAGCCTCATTCACAAATCCATGGCTTGTTCTGATTGTACCAACCGCCACCACACACACACACACACACACACACAGGCAGTGCGCACACACACGCCTTCTTGGGCTGTGGGTGGTCACTCGGTAGAGACTGGCCTGGTGTCTCCTCTCCTCTCTCTCCCTCCCTCTCTGGTCTATGCTTTCCATCTCTGAGGGCCCTGGTCCCACACCCCTTCTTCTGAAGGCCGCTCGCCCAGTGCCATGCGGGTGGGACGCCCAGACTTCCACCCTATGCCACCCACCCAGCCCACACTTCTGTGGGCATAAGGTGCCTGGGGGCCACTTTTGTCCTTTGCCTCAGCATGGAGGTACCCGGACCTCCAGTGTCCAGCAAGCTGGGGGAGACCTCAGTCAAATGGCAGCTTTGCTACGACATGACCGCCAAGATGTGGTGGATGGTAAGTGGGGGCTTGGTGCCCGCTGTGGGGGTGGTATCGTTCCGTGTTCTGGCCTCTCAGGTTGGGGGACATCTGAGCGCCTGGGTTTCGGGACGTCTGAGCGTGTGGGGTCTTGCGTGACTTTCCATGGCTGTGACCCCTCCCTCGTCATCTGAAAACTGGGGGTACCTGGGTCAGAGATGGTGATACCAGGCAACTGAGAGGAAAGTGATTCTGGAAAGTTCCACGGGAAAATGTACGAATTGCCCGGCGAGTGTTTAAGAGCCCCATGGTGTTGGTTCCCTGGGCACCGAGGGCGCGCTCTCTCTGAGCTTGTTGAGTGTGCTTGCAGGACTTGAAAGTCCTTGTGCGGCCTTGCTGCAACTCGAGGGCCGCAGGGGCCTGCAATGGGACGTTTGGGTGCAAGGAGGCTTTGTGGGGCCCACGCTGACCAGCTGGAATGCAGGGACTCCAACTCAGCTGTGAGATTCTGTCCAAACCTCCGCCTGCCTCTGCCCTGGGACCCCAAGAAGGAGCCCACACCCTCCTCTCCCCAGCTGAACAACAAACAGTCAAGGGCCAGGGAAGGTGGCATGCCTGATTCAGCTTACGGAAGGGCAGTGGCATCCACTCCATGACCAGGAGCCCTTCTGGAAGCTTCTGTGGGATAAGGCCACATCCCCTGAGCCAGGGCCCAGCTGATGGGGCAAGGACAGATTCCAGGGCAGCAGGGTGGACTGTGGGGCCTGGGATGACAGGCCAATGCCCCAATGTCTGTTTGTCTGCTGCTCATCCGTCTGTCCTCCCAGCTCTAAGAGCTGGCCTGTCATCCACCATGGAACTCTGAAACATTCTATCAACACGGTCTAGCTGCAACAGGCGGCTTTGAGTCTGGCTTTCTGTGTGACCTCGGGCCAGTGGCTAACCCTCTCTGGGCCTCCTATTTCTCCATTAGAGAAATGATTTGGAGCCTGGGCTTCTCAGTTGATGGCTGATGTTGTCTGGGTTCTAGGAAAGTTAGGCCTCAGGAAGGAGGCAGAACCCCACTATTTCCTGGGATTCCTCGTAGCCACCGCCTCAGGTTTATCTAACCCAGGAGGGTTGGGGGCAGCAGGATTTGTTCCCCAGACTTGGGGTACTTAGGTCTCAGGGTCCACAAGGACAGAGTCTCCCCACCACCCAGGATAGCGTCATGCGTTGGTTTCGTTTTTCATCCTTCATTTGACAACATATACGAAGCAGAAGGCCCTATTTGCAATGCTGTAGACATAGTGGTGACCCACACAGACAAAGACCCTGCCGGGTGGGGCTGACATTGCATGAGAGGAGAGCCAAAACATGAAACCATCAGAACCCAGAACGTGAATTCGCTATGAATGTGGAAGGGGCTCTGCAGGGCTGGAGCCTTGTGCAAGCCCAGGCGATCTGGGAAGGCCTCATGGAGGAGGTAAAAGCTGGGGGATAACAGACTTCCTTAGGAAAAGAGAAGGGAGAGAGTGTTTCAAGCTGAAGGCACAGCCCGTGCAAAGGCCCTGGGGTGGGACTGGGCCTGGTGAGTTAGAGGAACAGCCAGGAGCCCTGTGTGTGCTGGAGAGGAAATGAGTGAGGGGGAGAGAGGAGGAGGGGAGGGCATGGAGGGGATGGGGCAGGTCGGGCAGGGCCCTGTGCACCGCAGGGAGGACTCAGGCTGTTACCCCAAGGGAAGTGAGAGTCCTGGAGGCTGTGAACAGAGGGAGGATGGGACGTGTTTTACACTTTTTGAACCAAAAAACAAATCAAACTCACTGCCATTGACTTGATTCTGACTCACAGTGACCCCCACTGGGTTTCTGAGGCTGTAAATCTTGACAGAAGTAGATCGCCCCATCTTCCTTCCTTGAAGCAGCTGGTGGTTTTGAACCACTGACCTTTTGATTAGCAGCCAAATGCCTTATCCACCACATGGGAAGAAGGCAGAGTGCAGGGCTGATGGGGCAGCTGGAGACCAGGGGGAGGTTGGAGCAGAGTCCAGGAGAGCAGTGATTGGGGCCTGAAGACGGAGGGACGTGGGTGGATTTCACGCTTAGAATGGCTGGGACTTGGTCATTAAACTGGAAGCCCAGAGAAGTGAAGTAACTTGCCCAAAGTCACACAGCAAGCGAAGGGCAGAGCTGGAAGTGAGGGAGTCCTGGGAGCAGAAGTCAGAGGTAGGTCAGCGATGCACCAACCCCGATCTCCAGGGTGCAGGAGAGTTTAGCAGAGTTGGTAACTCGAGAAAAGAAGTGCACCTTTGGGGTCTAATTACTAAAGGCAGAAGCCCCAGGACAGAGGAGGTTATGCTCAGCCATAGACAGGGCTCAAAGTGGTGCATGACCACAAGAGGACGGAGCACTGAGAAGGGTGGGACCAGCAGCCTGCAGGGAAAGATTGACAGGCTTTAGGCTAAGAGAACAAGAACCTGGGAAAATCAGCTCAGCAACCCGTGCACCTTCTCCGGGCTCAGCCCTGATATGGAAAATCTGGGTTCCCACCACCCCAACCATTAGGAGCCCCAAACACAAAAGCTAAAATGTCATTGAGTCTCAAATCTCTCCAGGTGGGGGTGGCCTGGGGCAGAGGAAGCGGATGGGAGCAGGGAGGGAGAGGGTGGCCTGTGCACCCCAGAGGGCATAGTGCAACCTCAGTAAGTACTCTCTCCTAATTGGCTGAAAGGTAATAGACCAACTGTCATGGGAGGGGTACAATGTTTGGTGGGAATTCCATCCACTTAAGTTAGAGTGATCACATGATAGCATTTTGCAAGACCAGACTAATTCATTGCAAATACGTTTTTCAATAACCTAAATGGTGACTCTATACACATGGATTTTGCCGTATGGAATACACAGGAATCAAATTGATTGCATTTGTAGAAAGAGACCACATCCCTAAGGCAGCCACTCAGCTGCTCCCAGTAGATTCCACCATGGAGCTGATTGCCAGTCTCATCATGGGGAATACTACATCCAGCTGCCCAGCCACTCAGCCAGGCCCAGCCAAGCTGACACACAACCTTCACCACCACAGGTGTATCCCACCTGAACACAGACAGTATCTGAAGAGCAGATCTGAAGCATTGAACACCAGTGACTGGAAACCAGTTGTGGGAGGACATCAAGAACATCAGACAAGAAGAAAGCAAAAGGTCATTAAAATGGAAGAAAAGCCCAAATGGATGTAGGAAGAGACTCTGAAACGTGCTCTGGAATGGAGAGTAGCTAAAGCGAATGGAAGAAGTGATGAAGACAAAGAGCTGAGCAGAAGATTCCGAAGGGCGGCTCGAGAAGACACAGTGAAGCATTACAATGAACTCTGCAAAGACCTGGAGTTAGACAAAACAGAAGGGAAAAACACACTCGACATTTCTCAGCTGAAAGAACTGAAGAAACAATTCAAGCCTCAAATGCAGTACTGAAGAGTTCTCTGGTGCTCTGGTGGCCCAGTGGTTAAAGCACACAGCTGCTAACCAAAAGGCCAGTGGTCTGAACCCACCAGTTGCTCTGCAGGAGAAAGATAAGGCAATCTGCTTCCGTAAAGATTTATAGCTTTGGAAACCCTATTGGGCAGTTTTATTCTGTCTTATAAGGAGCTCTGGTGTCACAGTGCCTCAGGCATTTGACTGCTAACCAGAAGATTGGCAGTTCAAAGCCACCAGCTGTTCTGCGGAAGAAAGGTGAGGCAATTGGAATCCACTTGATGGCTGTGAGGCTTTTTTTTTTTTCCCTGTCTTGTAACATCACTATGAGTTGCAATCGACTTCAACTTGCTGGGTTTAATTTTATTTATTTATTTTTTTAAATGAGCAAGATGACTGCAGACCAGATGAGTTGAACAACACAGGAAGAAGCATCAAAAGGAGATGGAAGGAATACACAGAGTCACTATATCAAGAACTGGTTGGTGTTCAGCCATTGCAGGAGGTGGCATATGATCAAGGACCAATGGTATTGAAGGAAGAAGTCCAATCTGCACTGAAGGAACTGGTGGAAAAATCACCAACCTGGGGCGTTTTTGTCCCAGCGCTGTATCCGACTCTGTTTCAGGGCTATTCATTAACTTCTCCAGTACTATATCAGACAGTGTTTCCCTGTTGTTCATAAGGTTTCCACTGGCCAATTCTTTGAGAAGTGGATGGCCCCTTCCTTCTTCCTAGTCTGTCTTAGCCTGGAAGCTCCAAAACCTGTCCACCATGGGGGACCCTGCTGGCATTTGAAATACCAGTGGCATAGCCTCCAGCCTCACAGCAACACACAAGTGACCACAGTGTGACTCACTGACAGGCAAGCGGTGGGGTGAAAACAAGGCTCCAAGAACTGGCAGGATACCCACTGGGATGTTTCAACAAACGGCTGCAAGGCTGGACGCTCTCACTCAGCTATGCCGAGAAATTAGGAAGACAGCTACCCGGCTAACTGACTGGAGGAGATCCATGTTTGTGCCTGTTCCAAAGAAAGGTAATCCAATAGAAAATGGAAATTATTAAATATCATTAACATCACACGCAAGTAAACTTTACAGGTTACTGCCAGAAATTCAAGCTGGATTCAGAAGAGGATGTGGAACGAGGGATATTATTGCTGATGTCAGATGGATCTTGGCTGAAAGCAGAGAATACCAGAAAGATGTTTATATGAGTTTTATTAACTATCCAAAGGCATTCGACTGTGTGGATCATAACAAATTATGGATAGCATTGCAAAGAATGGGAATTCCAGAACACTTAATCATGCTCATGAGGAACCTGTACATAGACCAGGAGGCTGTCGTTCAAACAGAACAAGGGGACAGTGCATGGTTTAAAATCAGGAAAGGTGTGTTTCAGGGTTGTATCCCTTCACCACACTTATTCAATCTGAGCAAATAATCTGAGAAGCTGGACTATATGAAGAAGAACATGGCATCAGGATTGGAGGAAGACTCGTTAACAACCTGCGATATGCAGACGACACAGCCTTGCTCGCTGAAAGTGAAGACGACTTGAAACACTTCCTGATGAAGTTCAA